CTGTCTTTGCTTTTCTAACTAATTATATGTTGAGCTGTGTTTTCTTTCCACCATTTAGACAAGGAGAATTCCAACTCAAACAGCAACACACACCTCCAGGCACATGGAACATACATGCATGTGATGTGTGTGCATCTTCATCAACACTTAGACAAACAATGGTCTTTGTGGACATAATATTTTTCACATGAACATTTTTCTTGAATTGAGACAGTTCCTTAACTGCATACTAATCAATGTTATATTCTTAGTTAGAATGTAGATTGTCCCAGATTCAATCTATATATTGTGAATAAATCAACTTATTAACTTTTGGAATTGTTTTAAAATCCACAGCAATGTTGTTTCTTATAACAAATACTAAGGACTGAAACACTTAAAAAAAACATCACCGTATGGGGAAGCTTCATAATCCTGGAAGGCCTCAACTCCTGACAAACCTACACTGAGGTTGGATGAAATAAATAATATTAAGTTAAGTTTTATTTAAACTTAATATTATTTCTTTCAACTAACCTAATACAGTTATGTGACATTTGTTGACATAATACATTTAATTAAAGTCAACGATTTAGTGTTTTCAGTGTAGAGTCTGAACACCTTTGATGTATGCTTGATAAAGGTCAGGATATATATATATGTATGTATATATAAACACATATCACTATTTAGGAGTTACATTCAGAGACACCTGAAAAGACAAGATCTTAACCTCAATGTATTAGTTTGTTTATGTGTTGATAACAGCGTTAAAGCACGACTGCAGTTCTAAATGTGTGTGTCTTCTACCAACATGTAAAGCTCACCACCAGAGAACCTGCTGATTCTCTTGTGTAAATATTCTAGCCCCAGGTCTTAATTAACAATAGTGCATTTAAAGCAACTCCGCCATGGCTGTTCCCATTTGCATCTTAACACCTCACTAAATTAAAAACATGCGGCTACGCGTACGTTTGTGACTCTGAAGGCAATTTGCAGTAAGCTTAGTAAATCAACCCGGGAGTCTTGAGTGAATACAAACACAGACGCACATCGCATGCCTCTAATAGCTCACAGAAACAGAAAAGCAAACTGGTAAACACATAACATTTTTGGTCCTTAAACATGGCTTGTAAATATTTAAATATACAAATATTTACATTATGGTGGTCAATCAAAGTGGTCTACTGCTACTGTACTGTATATGCCAATTTAGCCTTCTCTCTAAAATCTCAGTTTTACTCCCTAGTCACTTATTTTTAAATTCAACCAATCTGAGTGCAATAGTTGAACTAGACATAACTTTAGATTTCCTTAATTACTATTAGGTCCTCCTCTTCCCTCAGAGCAAATACTGATTTATACTTCCATTAAAAATCATTAGTTATATCGTCCTTTCTTCCCTCCTTCCTTCCTATTTTCTTTCCTGTCCATGTCCCTTGAGCCTGTGTGTAATTGAGTATGTGTGCATGCGTTATAGATTTTTTATATTATATTCTGTATTATGCATATAGTGATGTGTCAGCGACAAATGTAATCCTGAAGGGCATTCTTCGTCATCTCCTGGAAGGCACAGATAAGTGCTGCCAAGAAGATAATCACACTGTTGTTTCAAAGGCCACACACACACACGCACACGCACACACACACACACACACACACACACACACACACACACACACACACACACACACAGATAATGCAAACACTTAATCACACAAGCTACATGTATGGTAGCGTGCATGCCTGTTGGAAGGTTTGTATATTTTTCCACACCACCAGAAAGCCCTAATCTAATCTGGGGTGAGCTCCTCTAATAAATAACTGTAAATGTGAGATTCACATCCGGAGTTAGCAGCTTTTAATATCTCTACATTTACTGCAAATATCCATTTTCTCCCCTGCTTTCTCTTCACATCATACACTGATGCAAGCAGATATCTGTGAGACGCTTTTCTGGTCTTTCCTCACAGAACTCTCATTTCTGACTCTTACAATTCTGCGAAGATACCAAGGATTCCATCTTGTTATTTTGAGACTAGACAACATGAAAGTCAGTTAACAATTGTAGAAAATACAACTTGTATTTACAGTGTTATTTTAAGTTTCTATACGCTTATTACGAAATGGAGCCCCCTCATTTCACCTCTTTTCCTCTACCTCACTCTAGTCATGATACCTAGGGGGCAGTTTGGCTGTTTTAGCTATTTCCACATTAACATATTCGATTGCCCGCTTACCTGCTTTGTTATGCAGGAGCCAAGCACTGGTATTAAATATTAAACTTAAATGCCAAGGAGAGAAGATATGTCGCCTTTTTAACTGTATATACGCACGTAATTTGTTTTAAAAATGTCCCTTCTATTTTTATTAAAAGGCACTTTGAATCTCTCTATATATATAACAGCAGAATAGGGGGCAGTTACAAGATGTGAGTGAAAGCAGAGCGTTGCATCACCTCCATAAATCATACTGTTTACTATTGAATGGCATATCTCATTCATCAGTCTGAACCCATCAGTTGATATAAAATATGTCTGGGCCTGATGATGGAGCTGCTGATGTCTGAGGCAACGATAACCTTGTGTGACGGAGTATGAGTGAGTGTGTAATGTGTTTGGACAGGCCTGTGGGCCCTGATGGTTACAGTCCATGGCAGGTAGGCTGTTCCTTTCCAAATTGCATCTTGGCTTGGTACACAATGTACATTTCTTCAAAAGATAATACAACTGACACTGATATGATACCAAACAAAATAACACCTATTTCTTCGAGGCATTTTCTAAACTTGTGCACAATTTATTGATTTTACTTGCTGGCAGTTGTTTTGTTGTCTTTCCAACGATGCTTTGCAAAGGGATGTGGCCTTGAGGTTTGACCAGCAGAATCTTCCATTACAGAAGGACTCTGGGCACTACTGTGTAGTGGCAATGTCTTGTGTTACCTTATATGCTAAAACCAAATGCTTCTGAAAGCATTGTCTAACACTACTGTACCATTTCTTCATCTTTGCTGTTTCCTCTGCATACTCTAATGACGTTTATTATTCTCAAGCGCTTCAAGGCCACAGGGCTGATTTGGCAGACTATGTTGAAACTACTCCTTTTAACCCTAAGTTTGAACTTCCATATTTTAATGACTGTTGTACTTTCTATGGCTCAAGGACACAGGTGTCCAAATAGCGATATGAGACCGTGTGAAAGTGGATTTCTGAGGCGTTCCGCCATGCTACACAAAACTTTGTCTGCCTGCCCTATCTTGTATATAAGCTTTGCTATTTTGTGACTATTGCGCACACTCCTGCAGACTACTCTGTACTCTGTGAGACATGTACCTTTGAAGCTTCAAATAAATAACCAGAAGACAACGCTGCCTGCTTTCACCAGTTTATCATCGATTACTCTCATTGTGCATCTTTACAGTATTGACGAGTTTAAAATATCCACAACAACTGTCACATGGTTACACAAAGATCTTTTTACTCCACCATGTGTTGCCAACTCCTACAGCCCCTCTGTTGTCCTTGTGTCACAGCTTTGGTGAGAAATATGCTGTTTATGTGGAAGGCTCAAGACATCTGCTGTGACTGCCAGACTAGCAGACTGAAAAGGAGTGTAGCACGCGATGACAAACCATCATGCCTTCTGAACAGTCACATGATCATAATACTTAATAGTCTCACTCAATTAGTCTCACAGAAGATTGCAACCCACAGTTCTAGGACTATCTTCGGTATACTCAGTTGTGACTGACAGCTTTGCAGGACAGCTGATGTTGCGACTTGTCATTGTTTGCTTTTGAGTGTTAGCCGGAGCAAAGCCCTTGAGACTGCCGGTTATCCCTCTTGGACACACACACACACACACACACACACACACACACACACACACACACACACACACACACTACGGGCTTTGGGTCAAGAGAATTAGCGGATTAAAGGGAAGAAGGAGAAAAGGCAGGTTGAAAAAAGGTCAAGCATTCAAAGGAAATCAAGCATTGATGAGAGACAAATGAGACTGATGCAGACGAGGGGGTTTCATTAAATAGTAGTGAACACTGGACGCAACTTAAAATAGCATTTTCGATATTATTAAATGAAACACAAGTTCAAAGAATCTACCTATTCCTGCAAGGGCGCAGATAGGTTGTTAAGTCAAACTCAGACAATCCTGCTGGGGGTTTGGTCCAATCAGACTGCATGTGCCACCCACAGTAGTTGCATTTGAAACCTAATTGACAGGAAATTCTCATTGTTTTTAATGTTAAAAACACATTAAAAACCCACATTTTAATGAATTATTTGTCTCCTTTTAAGAGAAGTCGGTTACTAATGAAGACTTATCATGGGCGTGTGAGTGTGCAAAAACTATAAAAGTATGCAACAACCGTCTCCTTCCTCTTTTGTCTTGTGATTGGCTCTTTGAGGCTGTGAAGATGAGTGATGAAACGATAAGGTCGGCCCCTGAGTTATCTGCTTTCAAAGAAGAAGGTGCTTCTGAAGATGCGAAGATACAGCAGCCGTCCAAAGAGAGAGCGGAGATATGTGTGAGGAGATAACGGGCGTACAGAGGAGCTCCATCCCTTACCATGAGTCAGAAGGGCGAGAGATGAGAGCTTGTGTCTTTGTTATAAGATCTATCTGAACAATAGCATCTGTGAAGACTGACACACCTGTCCAGTGTCGACTTGGCTCTTCTTGATCTTTCACTTCCAAGAGTTTCTGTAGTGTTCTTCGCTGTCTATGCAAGAAAAGATATGGGAGCCCTGCAACATTTTATCTGACTGCTTCGACAACCAGTAGTGTCATCTCACAGGAACTATGTTGTGTTTTAAAAATATGTTTCAAGTCAACAGGAGAGCCTGTATTATTGGATCGGTATGCCAAAGCCAAATCTTTTATGTATTTGTGTTTCCCTTTTCCACAACACTTTAACCTCTCTCCCCATTTCTACATTATTTAGTGCGCCTCAGAAAACAGTCTAACTTCGCTCTCCACTCTGAAATGACAGCTATAAAAGCAATGTCCTTTGCCTCGGGCTGAGTTTAATGCTACATACCATACGAGGCAATAGTGAATGGCTGAGTTGTGCCATCTACGGCGGAAACACCTTCACTGGGATGCAATTCGAGAAAACGTGCTTTTTGTTATTCCATTCCCATTTCCATTAAAACTGACATTTCATCTAAACTGAACCCTCCAGGGGAAACTTAGAGCTGGGGAAGAGATGAAGCAATAAAGATCTATGTGTGTGTGTGTGTGTGTGTGGTTGTGTGTGTGTTTTGGTGTGTGTGTGTGTGTGTGTGTGTGTGTGTGTGATGTGTGTGTGTTGTGTGTGTGTGTGTGTGTGCGTGTGTGTGTGTGTGTGTGCCATGTGGTTGTGTGTGGTGTGTGTGTGCGTGCGTGCGTGCGTGCGGTGCGTGGTGCGTGCTTGTGGTGCGTGTGTGGTGTGGGTGTGTGTGTGGTGTTGTGGTGTGTGTGTGTTGTGGTGTTGTGTGTGTGTGTGTGTGTGTGTGTGTTCCTTGTGTGTCATGTAGATTGTGGGTCTGTGTTCTGCATGCGATGTCCGTGTTGTATTTTCGTCTGAATCTGGGCTAGATGGGAGAAAATGATGACCTTATGTGTAGACAAATGTTGGATGCCGAGTTTCGCTTGATATCATGTTTAACAAGGCATCATGGCTAGAGTTAGCCGCATTGTAAGAGTCTGCGTGTGTGCCCTCGGCCTCCACATCCATCCTGTTTTTTCCCCTGGTCAGAGAACTGTGCATTTTTGTAGCCTCAGTGAGAAATCAATGCCACTATGTTTTGAGTTTCCACTCTGCTCTTGGCTATAATGTAGTAATTTGCAAAGATAAACGACATTAACCCATGCTCCCCACAGAGCCTTTCCGCTCTTAACCCTTGCTGGTGGCTCTTCTCTTGATAGAATAATCTCTCTCGTCTCTCGCGCGAACCTTGTGAGCTTTTTATGCTTTTTCCAGTGAGATAGAGGACGACGGGATCTGACCTATGGACTAGTTTGGTTGGGACACCTCTTTTTTCTACAATTGGAGATGAGTGACAGGGGCGCGCCTCGCTCTCCCCAACTGGCATACTCAAATATGCACATACAACAAACACACAACAGCAGAATCGTCGCGAACGTTGGGGATGAGCTCAGTGGCATGTAACACACGCGACAGCATACTTCTGTGTGCTTCAAGCAAGCAGATCAATCTGTTGTTATCCTCGAACCCCTGGAGTTGGCTTGGGGGGCGCCCGTGTAGACCGCCACGACCGATGCGCTCGTGCCTCTGTGTTAGCCAGGAGGATGGGTCAGCAGAGGTAATTTAATCGAATAATGGAAGGATTTAAGATACCGCTTTATGGCAAGGTGCCAGCTCTGACTTCCAATGTTTTACAGCACGCTCAACAGTAATTAATCATTGAGAAGTATAATCAACAGTTGTGCATATAAATAGTTGTTTAATGTTAAATTCGAGTGTCCTTGTTGCCACCTGGTATGTATATTAGTATGTTTCACACTGAAATAATAAGATTTACGTTGATTAATAAAAACATTGAAAATGTGCATGACCGTGCCGGTCAGTGGATCTTGGCTATTATGAAAACAGACTTTCAAATTCGGTGGCTACAGTAGAGAAGAATGATCCTGNGACTGACAGCTTTGCAGGACAGCTGATGTTGCGACTTGTCATTGTTTGCTTTTGAGTGTTAGCCGGAGCAAAGCCCTTGAGACTGCCGGTTATCCCTCTTGGACACACACACACACACACACACACACACACACACACACACACACACACACACACACACACACACACACACACACACACACACACACACACACACACAGAGAGAGAGAGAGAAAGAGGGGCTTTCACTTTGGAACATGACAGTAGAGACATCACAGTCTAGGGCAGTGGTTCCCAACCTGGGGAGGGGGGGGGCACCAAAGATCGCAGGGGGGGCGCCAGGCCTCAGATGATTTGAGGCCAAATATCATATTTATACTTTTGAGACTTTTCAACTTTAATTACCAATGTTGCGCCCCCCCCCTGTGTGTGTATGGGGGGGCGCAACTTCCAACAGGAGTCATTTGGGGGGTCTCCTGGGAAAAAAGGTTGGGAACCACTGGTCTAGGGTACATTTTAAAGTATTAACCCACTTTGTTTCCCACAATGGCCAAGCATTACATATTCGTTTTTTTAAAATTTATTAACAAACTAAGTAAATATAATTAACATATGTACTAAAAGAAGATGATCTACAGAAGCGCCTAGATTGCAAATATCAACACTATCAAAATAAACACAATTATTGGTGTATTTTTGAATCATTCCATTGCACACTTCCAACAAAAAAAGAAGATGATGTGCTCCCTTCGAACACTTAGTAATATGAATGGCCTCCCACATACGTAGATAATCTGATTGTTACTGCGGGCTCGGCTTTCAAAAGCTTCATATTTTACATGAAATGTTTCCCCAACATCTTGGCGCGTTCTTTGTTTTTCTTCTTTTTGAGCATTTCAAAGTCCAGTTAACTTTCCTTTGAGAATTCTCTGATCTCTATCAACATTTCATCAATGCCCACATGCCTCTCATATTTTCAACAGGTTGATTGTTTTTTCCAGTTGAATTTTCGAGCAGAGCTGTTTGTTTTGCAGAATTGCTTTGCCTCAGTTTTGACAATGTTCTTTTTACCCCACCACTTTTTTAAGTTTCCCTCAGTTGAGTCATTGTGTTTTCCATTCCTTCACATAAGTAGCACTTCATTAATGGCTAATATGTTTTTTGGAACGTGGCGTATCACAATCCCCAGCAAACAAGCGGTCACCTTTCAATGTATTATGCAAAATGGAAGCAGGTCAAATGCATTTTTTGAGCCTTATAATGTAACGAGTATTCATTCAAGGATTGATAAAAGCTGACCTTTAGCAGAAACATGGCTTAAATGGCTGAATCTCAACAGTGATTTCCACAGTGAGCACACAGTGTTCCGTTGCAAAAATAGAGAGAATGTAAAAGAGAACAAATTGAAAATAAAACGTAAATTGTTAATACCCCTTGTCCCCGAGCTAATGACCATGCTGAATGTGGTTACTCCGGGGAGTCTTTCTAACCTTTACTCCTCCCTAAGTAATAGCTCCAACACCAGCTACTTCCAAGTCCGTAATCTAAATGTAATTGGAGGGGGAGCACCACTTCCTTAGCAGGGAATAGTCTCCATAGCTAGTATCTTCAAATTAAACCCTCTGCATATCTGATCAGTATTGCTTTGAATGCAGCTTGGGCTCAGGGAGCTGTAAAAGTATGCGTGGGATCTGTTTGGCATTTTACTTTCACCTGAACTAATATTCATCTTGGTGTGGAGGATTACATTTGCAACTGATTAAATTGCATCAGTCCAAGAGCCGGCAAACTGAGATTTATCTTTTTCTCCCAATAATGGAGATTTGTGCAACAATTTCCCTCATAGTATAAACTTCCTGCCAACATTGTTTTGTGTTTGTTTAGTCCTAGGATTTAATCTTAATGAAAAAGTGTATGATTGTTTCCGATACAAACTATCAGAGAATATGATAGAATGCATTTAATAACCTTCAACCTGTTTTCAAAGACTCACTTAAGTTCAATTTAATTAAAATAACGGAAATAAGAAGTTCAAAATAGCTGATATAACTGCCTTCTTGTTGGTAAAAGAAAAGTGTATGGTGCAAAACAACAACCTGTGCACCCCAGCATTTACCATGAAATAAAGATGAGTGTGGTGCAGACTCATCGAGGCCGGAAAAGGGGATGAAGATGTGAACTCTGGCAGACTCAAACAGCGGATGAGAGGCCATTTAAGGCGTTTTGCTTTTTATCAGAAAACAGCCTGACGTTTTTTGCATCTTAAATAAAGATTCTGCAAAACCGTTGTCATAGCACCACGACTACAAACAAGTGAGAGCGTGTGACTCTCTTAAAGCAGGTGCTCAGATCCCCCTGCAGTGGGGAGGTTTGTAGGAGATGTAGATAAAAGCAAGGGGAGCGCGATGGGTGAATACCAAATAGTTAGTAAAAGCAAACTCAGGCTGGGTACGGCTCTGTTACTAAAATACCTTCTAGATCATAACAGTGTGGATGCTTTCTGCAATTTCATGAGAAACACCTCTGTTGTTTGCTGTGATTCACACACACATGCAAAGACACACCTAGTGTATGTAGGACGCCACACATGTGGATACTTTTGACAATGTCATCATAACAGGGGATATAGAGGGAATGGGATCGTCAGTAGTATGCAGCTATTAATTGCTGCTTACAAGCTGTCGGTGTGTATTTTCAGAAACTACATCCATCCCTTATTGCTACTAACACATAGATACGGGGCCTGTCAAAACAAGCCACAACAAAGCCTTGAAATCTGCCTGACTCAGCCGATGAAGTACCTAACAACCTAAGCTACGATTTCCCTCAACAAGTTCTCTCCCCAGTCCAAAATCAATGGCTGTCATGACTTTACACTGTAGTTAGCATTGACATTTCTTGGCACTTAGTTCCCCATTTCCCTTAGGGAGCTTAATGACATAGGAGACAGAAAAAAGCAAAGACAGAAGAGAGGGGCAGCAAAGGAGGCTGGGAGATAAGGCCTAGGATTTTAAATGAGTACAAAATACTTTGAATCTTACCTGGTTTCCAGAAAGTCAACAAGATGGAGGAGGACATGTAAAAGAAAATAGTTTGTGTTAGGAATACATCACAGATTACAATTTTAAAAAAACACATTCAAGTATGCATTCACTTGAAATTCATTATAAATACGGGTATGCTTTGGCATGTCTCTACTGGCAGCTGCAAGTTGGCAGCATCAATACTGCAAGAGTTTACGTCCTGTGCTTTCACTTTTCTTGTTCTCACTCTCACTAACTTTCTTCCTTTCTCTTTTAAACACAGATATGCACACACACAAAGATATGTAAGTGGGACTGGTCTCACACCTCTCAAATGTTCACTCCACAGAGGCTTTCCTCCAACAACATAT